GCTTAATTGTAGTAATATTTCGGACTTTGATGAAACACTAATTCATACAGTCAATTAGATCTTTATTAGTAGAACAGACCTACTTTTAGTAAATACTCCATTATTAGAATTATTTTTTCTCTAGGAAATAGACTCTCTCAGCGGAAAAAGTGTTTCCTTTCACAAACAGTATTTATGATAAAGTGGAAGTTGTGGGGAGTTATTTGTAAACAAGTCATCTTTTTGGTACAGATGTTTCTTAAGAGAGTGAGAAAATACAAATTTGGCTTTAGAACAAAGAACCACCAGTGGAAAGTTAAAACGTTGATTGTTTGAGTTCCTCCGGGCCATTCGCGATTTCCTTCAGTTCGGCTTTTCACAATCTTCACTGATGTTCTCAACAGCACTAACTCTGGTTTAGGGAACGTCTGTAAAGCCCCTAAGGGGCATCCATTTTCTTGAAGGAATTGAGCGAAGTATGCTGTTATCAAAGAATCCATGCCTCCAGATAATTCCTGTGTTGTGGTTTTTTTCAATCACACCGATCAGATTCAAATTTTCTCCCCCTAACTTCTCTAAAGGCTAACTGCTCAAATATATATGCTACAGTCATATACTCTTACCTCATCTGAGGGATATTACGTATTATCTGCTTTATGTTTGATAAGACCGATTATAATCGTCATAAGAAATTCTACCACGTACTTTAGGAATCTGACATGCAGGCCACTGGGGTAAGTCATACACCATCCCTCAATCTCATGAGGATTTTAGCCCAGGCTGGCCTTTCCTTACTTCTCCTACTACTTTCTTTTCTGCTATGAAGGAGGGTTCAGCTCACATAGGGTACAATGTTGAAAAAGACCCATAAATGAAAAACAACATTTTGATCTAAAAATGTCCATAAGGGAGACATCACTTAAGCTATATATTTGTAATAAAATATAAATAGGTCCATGGGACAAATACAAATTGTAATAAAATATAAATAGCTCCATGGTACATCCTAACAGAGATAAAAAAAGAAGAAAAAACACTCTGCCGATACTAAAGGTGGTATATATATATACTAAGAGAGCTGCAGGGAATCTTTCCTACTCTCAACACTCCAGCCCCAGCGTGGCCCTAGTGGGACCCAGCAGGGAAATCTGGCCGCGAGACTTTGCACTCAGAGCTCTTCACAGATTGCCGCAGCCTCCCATGACCCGCGGGACTCCGCACAGGAGGACTGGCCGGGTCCTGCCAGGCTGCGAGCCCTCCCCCAGCTCTCTCCCTCCCTCTACCTGCTTTACTGGACAGACATTTTCAACATTTTTTAAGCAGCTTTTGAGGCACAGTTGATACGCAAAGAATGCCATGTATTTAATTGCACAGTTTGATGAATTTGGACATAGGCAAACACGAGATTCCATCACCCAATCAAGGTAATTGATGTATCTGACACTTCTCAGAGTTCCCTTGTGCCCATTATGTCTTTTGTTATTTTTTTGTGTGGTAAGAACACCTAACAGGAGACCTACCCACTTCACAAATTTTGAAGGGCATAATACAGTCTTGTTAACTGTAGGCCTATGTTGTACAGCGCATCTCTAGAGCTTCTTTATCTTGCCTAACTGAAACTTCACACCTATTTCCTCCAGTCCCCAGCCCCTGAGCATCTAGGAGTGTGGCTGTTTTGGGATCTTACGTTGGTGGAATCACGCAGTCCTTGTTCTTCTGCGACTGGCTTATTTCACTTGGCACAATGTCCCCCAGGTTCATCCATGTTATTGTAACTGCAGGATTCCCATTTATTTTTAAGGCTCAACTTTCATATTTCAGTTGTCAGTTCCTGAAGGAAACCATCCTGGCCACTATCTTTTTAAGTGTTCTCCTCTCTGCACATGTCTGTACACTAAACTCGAATGCCTAGAGGGCAAAAACAATACCTTATTCATCTCTGCAGCTCTTAACAGAGTTACGCACACAGCAGCTGGGTGTTCAATAAATGTTTGTGAAACTGTTTATGTGAATTAGTGGCAGTTTGTTTTCTTTTATAAGCTAATTTTCTTAAGATATTAGTTAATATGATCATGAAGGAACTGATTTCAAAGAACTCTGTTCATTTCTAACCATTTGAGAAACAATAGTCCTCTTGCTAAAGTCCACTATGTTTAGAAAAATTAAACATGGAGGTGGTACAGACAAATGTGGGGAGCCATCTCTTTTACCTTCTGTGCAATGCTGCCCTTTGCCAAGTCCTGTATGAGCAGGTACTTCCTGCATGCTGGTATGCAGGTCAGCACTTCCACCTTTCTTCTGAACAACTTCAAAAAAACCCAAAAGCTAATGAAAACTGTACCCCAAGATAAGGTTTTGATGACACTTGTCTTAGAGAAAATATATTTCAGTCAACTAGAGGAGTTATCCCAGAATCAAAAAGACAGAGTTTCCATGAAGCACAATATTAAACAGAAAATAAGCTGATGGTAGGCCTTCACACTACCTCTTTTTAAACAATAGCTCATCAATGAATAAAAACCTTGTCTTTTATGCATAGATTTTCCCTTTATTTTGCAGTCTAACAAATTGGTATTTTATTATGTTAACAAAAGATAATAAACTACTTTGCTTTTAAATACCATGTAGTCAGGATTTAATGAGCTCTGTGTATCAGACCCATAGCTGAGTTTAAATTCTAAATCCAATACTGGAAATAAAATAAGTACCTCTTTCCCCCAAATACTCTGGCAATAAACTAAAACCCATGGAAATGAATATTATAAATCCTTTCATACAGTCATATATTTCTTAATTTTCTAAATCCTTCAGTAAACTCATGTGATCTATAGTGGAGAACTCATTCCAGGATTCAGTGTGACCCTCTTCTCTCCTGGACGTTTGGCAGCTTCTCATAAAGGCCTTCATCATTCAAATTCCTCCTCTGACACAACTATTATCCTGTTTGAAAGGAGCAACGTATGTTTAGAAAACTAAATGAAAGTCTAATCTTGTCTGTTAGTCACCAGCTTTTCTTCTGTATGGCACCAGACAGTTACTGAAAAATCTTACAATGTGTTCTCTATTTGGCCAGAAAATTTGTAACAAAAATCAACAAAGCTGATTCCTTTAAAGACTGGATTTCAGGATGCCCAATTTATGCCTGTTTTATTCCCTACTTGCTTTTATAATGGTTATCAGTTGACACTAGTACATCGCTAGTAGAACAATTCACTAGAACGGCTGAAGTGGATGAAATGAAATCAGTGACAGGGCAGCAATGATGCTCATTTTGGGCACATGGCCCCACCCTACGTGGTTCCTACGGTGTTTGGCCGGGAGCCCTCTAGTGGTAGTACAGGGTAGTTCTGGTCTTTACCGTTCTCTGGGCTTTAATTTCTCATCTACAAAATATAATCGTTTGTTCACTCAGCTATTAAATAGTTAATAATCAAACACTACACCACAGGAACTGTGCTAGGCCATGGAGGTAAAACAGAGGTTCAAAAAAATTTGCAGTGCAGTGCAAGGTCAGATTCGGAAAATAACAATAACAAAGCAATGTGCTGTGTGCTTTACCAGTGCACGGGTAATGGATTATAAGGGTCACGGAGGAGGACACCTCCACGGGCAAAGAGCTCTAGCAAGAGATTGATGTTCAGGTGAGTCGTGGAGATAGAGGAAAGCTTAGTAGGCCTCTGGGAGAACATGCTCAAAGTATGACGGTTTTGAGATAACAAGGGAAGACTATGCTACAGATGACAAATGAAGGAAGGACACAGAGGAGGTCAGGCACAGACAGTGCAGGGCAAGAATGGCCCAGAATGACACTCAGGAGGTGTGGACCTCATCCTGAAGGAAAGAGAAGCTATACAGAGACTTACACAGAAGAGTTACACGGTCAGAGTTTCACTTAGGAATATTACTCCACTTGTAGAAGGTAGAGGCAGTGAGACCAGCTCTGAGATGGCTGCAAAAATATAGGGGCAAATTGACAGGGGCCTAAACTAAGACAGCAACAATGAGAAGGGAGGGGGGAAATGGATTCATGAGCTCCTGGGATGCAGAACTGACATGATGTAGGAACTGTCTGGATGTAGAGGATGAGGGAGAGAGAAAAAAATTCTAGGATTAATTTCGAGTTTAATTTTGGACATGCTACTCTTGTGGTATGTAGGGGACCTGCCAGGAGACACAGTGAGCAGGCAGGGGATGGATGAGCCTGCAGCTCAGGGCAAACATCTGCGCTGAAATAAAACACTGGGGATTGTTAATCCAAGCAACACAGTGTTGGGGAAGAAGGAACATTGCTAATGAAGGAGACAAAATAAGGAAGGCCTCAGAGGCAGGAGGAAAAAAAATCAGTATCGCTAAACCTAGAGAACAGGGCGTCTCAAGCAGAGAGTGTCAGCAGTGTCAACCCCAGCTGCGCTGGGAAGTGAGGTGAAGCCTGAGAAGAGCCCAGGGCATCTTGGGCCTCAGGGATGACTGGCGACCTCGGAGAGTGCCATGTCCGTGGACCAGCTGGGACACAAACCAGACTCCAGGGCGCCGAAGAGTGAGCACAACCACCAGAAATGGAAGACTTTTTCTAAGCCCAGGGGTAAAGGAAGAGATCAGCGAGTTGGTTAAAGCTCTCTTCTGTAACGACGTTCTGTGAGCTTCGAACCAAACAGCTGTATCAAGAAAGTGAGCACTTCCCCAGACACCTGACTTCCTGCCAGCCTGGATGCTGAGCCGCTGTGGAGACGGGGGCCAGTAGGTTTAGAAGAGAATTCATTTCTTTGGAGGCTTGGCTTGGGGCATTCCTGCAGGCAGGACAGTTGTTCCTGCCTGTGTAAAAAAGAAGTGGGTGAGGTGTTTGACAGCTACCCACCTGCCTTACCTCTTGGTTTGTGTGGTGGTGGGAGGTGTGGGGGGTCAACCATTTGAAACAGTGGAAAGATGGACATTATTATCTACAGGTAACTAAAATAACCCTTAGGCCAACACGTAGCAATAAAGATGGATTCTGCAAGGGAGCAGTCATCAGGTTTACTCACAGGTGGTCCTGGGGGTCCTGGTTTTCCGGGAGGACCTGTTTTTCCTCGTCTTCCCTTGAAACCAAAGAGAAACAGAGAATAAATACTGTGATTTCATTTTATTTTAAGATAAGACAATATTACATGGCAACCTTAGAGACAGAAAAAAATTAACTACAAGTTAAAAAATAATTCCAAGTCCACGTAACCTTTAAACATCATGAAGCCTAAGAAGCATGAGTCAAATCTTAACAACCTTGAGGAGAAAAATAGTGCTTGGAATGAATATATCTTAATTGCTATTAGCAGCCCTTCAAATACTGCCTACCGTGATACACTAGTAAAGTAATATAAAGTGTCTGAAAAGTGGTTTAATATGGGCATTTTATCTGATGGTTCTGTTGTTTCAGATGCAAAATACATATATTTGT